ATTATAATGCTATTTATTCAATTGTGAATATTCAATTATTGAATTTGCTTCGGGATCTGTAGAATGAGGAAAAATTGGAATGTTACCAGGATCAAAAATTTGCAAGAATGAACCTGGCCTGAAGATGGAGATAACATAGAGTTTATATGCGCAAGAGAACTTCCTGAAGTTGGAGAGTTTAAAAAATGGTCGCCAGCAGAAATTCAAAAAATAAAGAAAGGAAAAAAGATTGATAAACCTGAATTACAATATATAAATCATACCGAGCCTTCTAATTTGTGAACCCAGCCAGTTTTACAATTCAAAGGTAAAAGGTTTCGAATTTAAAATGTGTCTGTGAAGCTAAATACTAATAATTTATTTAGTTCAAGATATTCAAATTAAAGATAACTGTATAAGATAGCAAGATCAAATTTTTACAAATCCAATATCCTCTTCTGAACTAAATGAATTAGAACAATGGTAATTATAATTATATAAACCATCTTCTTTTTCTTTACTCACTAATTTTTGATAGAAATGAAGTATTTTATAATAGATGGGCCCTAAAGTCAAACAAAAAAGTGAGTAACAAGAGCCATAGAAGAGAATACCTAAACGAGTAAAAGAGTTGCTAGAAAATATGTTTCATACCGGAACGGTAAATTCTAATCAAAAACTTTCAGTATAGCAAATGCGTGAAGAATTATTACAACGTGTGCAACATGGTGAACTTGAAGAAAGTGAGGTTCCAAAAGCCGCTACTATTCAAAATTGGATAACTGGATTCTCGCGCAAATGGAAAGAGGCAATGGCGATACATTCTTTAGAACTTGTGGAATCATCTGAAATAGTTCAATAGTTTTAAAAAATAGTTTGTAAAGAGCGATATGTGAAATTTAGCTACATAGTATTTTGAATCTTGAATATATAAAAACGTTTTAAATCTGTGCTTCCCTAAAAGTAAAACGTTGAACTGGCTTTCTATTCTATTGATTTTATTTGATATTTGTGTTACAAGAGAATTTATTTAGTAATTTATATGTTTCTCGATATAGTTTGGATGATTTTTGACGACTTGACCTTTACACCTATTTTTTGAATTTTGATAAATTAAATAGACGATCTACATTTTTTTACTCCAAAATCAATTATAAATTTTCTGCTAATCATATGCGAATTAGATCTTAATACTATTATTAATTTAAATAAATAAAGTAATTCTAGTTAGAATAGATTAGAAAAAATTTTAAAGTATTAATTATGATATTATAAAAACATGTTGTTAGAAAATAATTTTGTAAATATTATTTTTAAATAGTATTATATAGGTTTATTAAATATAAATAAAGTTTATATAGATTTGTTTGATTAGTATATAAAAGTGTAAAAAATTTAATATACTTGGTTTTGGGTATAATATTTCAAGCTATTTTTTATTAGTATTAAAAAAAGTTGTATTTAAACTATATTTCATAGTAGAACTAGTATAGAAGATTGTTAAAAAAATTAAAAAATATAGGCTTTGTTTGTTTTTTAATTAAGATTTTAATATTCTGATATATTGTTTTAGAATATATTCCTAGGATAGTAGAGATAAAAAAATTATATATATATTTTTTTATTTATTTTTTGACGATCTTGCTAGAACTTATATACAGTTTACAAATTTAATCAAAAGAACTAATTCTAGTTAATATAGAGGTCTTATCCGGTCAAAAATTTTGTATTCGAATATTCATTTGTTCAATACTTTTAATATTCGAATATTCA